CAGATCAGCAAATGGTGGAACAGGCTCTGTATGCCTTACTCCTGCTTCTAATTTATCTTTTCTTATGTTCCTGTGCCCATGAAAATCCCAGGTATTAAATCAGACAATGTGATTCAAGATCAGTAGTCCATATTTTACATCATGATAATGAAAACAATACATTGCTCACACTTCTGGATAATCCTAACCTATCACAAACCTATACCGGATTATTTTAACAAAAATCTTCTTTCCAATGGGAACTTCATTCACAAGTCACAGGGCAACTGCAATCATTTAGTAACAATAATTATATACTTTGTTGCTATACAATTTTAGCTGTAAAGGAGGAAACAGAAATGTGCAAAAGATTCTTTCTGCAGACAAAAATTTGCAGAGCTAAGATTCTCCAATGTTAATCATTTTTATTAAAATATACTTACTTTGAGTGACATAACTCTAAAGTCTCATGAAAAATCCTAAAGCTTTCAAAACGGCAAAACATACGGATGGGAGCCACACCCCTTTCCCGGTCTGTTTATGTAATGGACAACGGCTGTTAACACAAACATCAAAGTATCTCAGAAAGGGCAAAAAATTAATTTTCACCTCTCGTTAAAGATGCGTGGGTTTGACGAGGGGGACAAACTTATAACTTCATTGATTGCCCATAATTCTAAAAGAAAACGTACAAAACAATAAAAACTGTTTAATTCAGACAGAACTTCTAAAATCTGGTTCTAATATCTGATATATGTGCTAAATTGTTTTTGACAAGAAAAACATTTTTTAAGTCCCCAATCTTTACTAGTCTAGTATAATTGTGAAAATATATGCAGTCTTTGCAAAGTAACTGTATATCCATAATAACCAATTTAAGTCATTAAAAATGAGCTACATGCAGCACTTGAGAGAAATCTTAAAAATACATAATTGTAGACTAAATTCTACACCACACAAGCAAGAAATGGAGCAGACTGATGCTGTCGCATTGCTTAAATGCATTCTCTTTCAAAAAAAAAATCAGTCTCATCCAAGTTCGACACATATGGATAGCAGCAATTTTACTGTCTTGCTATCTCAACTAGCTTTCTTCACTGGGCACCGTGCCAACAGGGGTAGACCGCCCCTCATTGTCACTTCTATAGTGTGGCGCTTGCACTAACTGCTGTTATTGTAGGCTTCAGGAAATATTCTAACCATTGGACGGGCTCCAGTGCTGTGCAGTAATGAGTTGCAGATTTGAGCCGTTTGGTGTGTATATGCTGGGACAATGCTATGATGTGTACAGCACAGTAGTTCAAATGATGTCTACATAACCTGAAGGAAAAGGACCCTCAGTTTTAAACAGAAAAAGCCTCAGACTTCGAAGAAAGGTCAGGTTTCATTGCCCACTGTGATCTCCATTCAGTCAGCACTCAGAAAAGGCAAAACCACTACAGCATTTGACTTTAATGTGAAACCCTTTAAACCACACAAAGATTTTACATAATTATTATTAAAATGTAAAACATGTTTTCAGATTTTTTAAAAATAACCTTGTGGGTTTCTGTTCATTAAAAGAAAAATTAAACAATACTGAATGCTAATTTACAGGCTATATTTTGGACTCAGTTTATTTCTTAAATACACTAGTATTATTTTGGAAACAATGAGCATTGCCTGAAAAGACCACGTCATGATGTTTTCACCATTGCCTATGCATATGTTTTATAATCCTAGAACAGCAGACACTTTTTACCCATTAAGAAAACGAAGAGTACTTTTAACAGACAACAGTTGTTGGTTACGTCTCAATGTACAGACAATTTTCATGTACCCTAGTCCAAAATATGAGATTTTGTTCCACATCCTGCTACCCAGTTTTGTTTGATAGCTTTTTTGTTTCCACACAAACGAAAAAGCCTCAGAGTACATAGTTCTTGCATTACCTCATGCCTACATGCAATATGTTGACTTCACTTGTTTAAACTACGCATTAAGAAGTTCATTGTGGAACCATGTGGACATAACATCTTCAACACAGCTGCACATCACATAAACCGCAATAGGTGGCAGCAGCCTTCCCATGATTCCAGACAGAGCAGAATATTATTTCCACAATTTTAATGCCCCTGCTTGTAGCAGTGCTACAAAATAAAACTATATTTTTTCCACAGTACTAGTGGACTATCAGCAAGGGTCCAACGCTGTGGTTCCTAATTACCTTCTTCTTCACTCTTGATCCTGTGGCTCCTATAATTAGTTACCTGGGGCTGCAATCCAATTTGAAGTGATGACAAGAAAGTGATCCATGAAAAGTAATAAGTTAAATCCAATTTCAGTCTGCCTCTAATTAAATGCACATGGAACTAATGACTCAACCCTACCATTTCAGTGATAATGTTAATTAGCTAGGTGGGAGTCTCTTTTGTAAGATTCTATGGGTAAACCAAGTAGTGGGGGAAGGGATGTCCATAATTACACGTGACATTTGAGGAAAATTGTAAGCAATTTGCACACTTATGACCAGTCCAGCACAGTTAGTTTGTCTTTTGCCCTTCCTCAAAATGTTATGCTGTACATCAACTTGGAGAATTATGTTATATATCTCCAGGCAATATTTCGCATTCCAAAATGAGAAGCTGATAACATTTTACACAATATCTGCTTCATATAATCCACAAACAGTATTCAAATTTATTTCTGCAAGCAACAAATGAAAACTAATAATGGCAAAAGAAGAATGATACTTTATTCACTTAAAGCAAGAAAAGCCCAAGTCTTAAGCTAAAGAAGGGTCAGCAGATCAAAAATTCAGACCAGCAAACAACAATTTATTGATCCAATTCACGCTAGAGAATGAATATTCCTACACCTTTCAACAATTGACGAATATTAGTTCACTGTAAATAACATTTTTTGCAACTGAATGCAACAGCAAACCCTAAATGATTGGCTCACTTTCACGAATAGAGTTGAAATTGTAAGTCCATTATCCCTACCATTCTTGGTAGGGTGCTGAAGGTAATGATATTAAAGATTATCCAGTGTGCACAAAGATGAATGCAGCTATAGTTTGTGACAGAATATTTGCACGTATTGTCTTGTTTCAGCTGCTGAGGTGTTTCTGGTGTTGGAGGAGGAGGGAAGTAATGTCCAAATTCAGTTTCAATTGTGCCAATCAATTAATTGCAAAGATGAGTTGCTTTGCTGTCATTTAAGTTACTAATTTTTTTTTAGTGCTTCAGTGAAGGATGACATCTGTCAGCGATATGAGATATTTTGCAACAGCCACTCAAAGTTTGCTGCCCACTCACAAACAGTCTCAATATTAGCCCTTCAGCAGCTGACAACCTGAAGCTTGAGTTCCCAGAATTACAAATCTGATTTTAACTAAAAACCTTTACCCAACATATGTTATGTTCACTGTCAAGAAGTCTGTATAGATTATAAATGAAATTTGATCTTCCTTTAAAATATTTGTAAAGTTAACCCAATGAGAATCCAAGCCCAACTGCTGGTTTTTGCAAAAACTACCTGATCTCTGACGTTTAGGGTGGTAAACAGGAGTTGGTTCTTGGTCTCAATCCTGATTGGTGATGAAGGAATAGGGGATGGGGGAAGAGAGGAAACTGTCATATTTGAGATTTTGACAACAGCTCCACCTAATTGCATGGAGTCAGGCTCCCTGTCCAATTAAAGGCAGCAGGCAGGTTCTCAACGCGGGAGGGTCATTCAGACGATGTTTAGCTTGAAAAGAGCACGTGGCTGCAGCAAAAGTTAAGTAACTGAGAGGATGCTTCAACCTGAAGGTACTGCTCATTGTTTTATTTCATAAGTGTAATTATGGAACAGAAAAATCAGCCAGGCCATCACTGCAGGTGGTCTTTGTATTGCTTTGCTGAATGGCCTTATCCTTCTCCTACATCCAGGCAGGCAGGGAAGTTTGTAGGCCTGTCCAGCATGTTCCTGGCCTGTTGGCCAATGGCTACATGCCTCCAGGCAGTCAAACTGCTTCCTGTCATGTCAGGAAGTTGGAAGCCAACAGGAAAGTCCTAGTCAGCCTTCTTTACCCTGGCTAACAAGGCCCTCAGTAAATCTAATCAAGCCCAAAGCTACTTCACAAGAATGGTGGCATCTAGAACAGTGGGTAATTGGCAAGCCAGCCAGCACTGGTATATTTGGACTCATTTTCTGTGCTCAAACAGGTCCAGAAAATTCACCCCATTGTGCACAGATGTCAGTGGAGGACAGGACAAGTTAGGGGAGATGCACATTCTTAAAAAGTGAGAACAAATTTCCAAACATATAATTGAAACGTCATATTTAGCTTTCTTTCTTAAGATTGAAAGTATAATAGCTGATATGAGTCTTTCTTGATCAATAAAATGTCGTAATCCTAGACTGGGTTTAGGGAAATGCGGAATATTTTTAATTTATGATTTTATTGAGACCAATAAAATGGTAGGAATTCATACGACTGGAGAGCATTTCATTTAATGTAGATTCTGAATGGGACAATGAAGAGAACAAAAATCATTAATACAGAATAGATGCAAATATAAATGCCAAAGATCTAAGGCAGCATTAGAATAAATATAGTACACATTTAATTCTTCTTGAATGCATTATTAAAACTCATATTGATAATGATCTCAGATTGGGGGGGGTGTCCAGCCTTGATAAGAATTCACATGGATTCTGTTACAGAATCCACCATAAAAGAGTGTCCTCGATGACAACATTCTTAGTTTGACTATGAATCTGACTGGGTTACTCATTTCAAAGTATTTGAATTTGCACAAATAAGGTGGTCAAAACAGTTAAATTTTTAAAAATTCCCTTCGACAATGAAATATCACTAACATAACAAACCACTTCCTTAGTACCTAGCATCATATTGAGTCTTTATCAATCTTTTATACTAATTATGTTGCATTATTCTAATAAATATGGTACATGGCAGTTGTACACTGACATATTCTTCCCATAATGATTCAAACACACACACTATACATAATCTATAAATATACACTTACCTGTAAGGTTGGTTGCTTGTCATTTCCCTTGGGAGACTTTAACCCACTGGCTTGTTGCTGCAGCAGGAGCTGTCGTGCAACTTGAAAAGCCTACATAAAAAGAGAATAACATTCACCTTTTAACCATAAATGGACCCAATGGGACAGTTTACGACTCCATCACACAAAGAAGGGTTACCACAACTGGCACTTCATACAGTTTGTTTTGCCGCTTAAACCAACGAGCTAACATTCTATTTCTTAAATAGATAGATTAGATTTATTTCGATTGATGACAGTGCCACATATAATTCTGCCAAATTACATTCTGTAAGTCTCTTTAAGCTTAAACAGGGTTTTTATTCAACATAAAGGTATATCAACAAAAAATGTTGTATGCCATTGTCTCCTTTCTCCATGAAAAGAGTATGCCATTTTCAGACTATATTGTTGGATGATTGTCAGGAGATATCAAATTTTCCAAATGAACAATGCATTATGAAGAGCTGGCTAGCATGTTACAATATAGCTAAACCCAAGAATTCCTCATTGCTGTGAGTGGGAGAATAAGAAAATGGGATATATTAAAATATCTTACAAATAAAAAAAATCGAGAGCCAACCTTAATGATATAAAAGGTTCGATTTAGAGAAAATTAATGGCCAGAGCATTGAATGGTAACTTAAAAATACAACGATACTTGGGATAATTAGAATTGAATTAAAGATTTCAGCAAAAGAAATCATACCATAGAATGCTGGCTTTAAAAGATTTGCGACGTACTAAACTATACACTGCTGGAAAAATAAAACCTAGCACAGTCAGTTTTATGCCCAAGCTACTCCCTTTTCCTTCTGATAAATAATCAAACATACACTGTCCAGAATAAACAAAACCAACAAGCTGGGAAATTCGATGACCATCAGAACTATGAAGATACCAACAAAAAACAACCCACAGTTCCCACAGTGACTTTCAGTTCCACACCTACATCAGCATAACATCTGAGTAAATAAATTCAGTCACTCTTTCCATTCCCCTCCCCCATGTGATTACTCCCCTACTATTAAACAAATAGTTTAGACCAGTTCCAAACATCTGACCACTGTTGATCACAAAAGACAACTTTTATGGAGTTAAATTTTATTTTGCAAACATTTATTGCATGTGCTTTGGCAAACTGGCTCTTCTTTGTCACTACCTGTTATTTGATTCTAGTAAGCAAAATTTTTTTGGTTGTACAGTCATCTCCATTATTTACATACAAAATGAACGATTAAATATAAATTGATTCTTTGTAACATTTTCCTTATTCATCAGCATGACCTAATTTACCATCAATTTAAGGTTAAATCATAATATTTGCATATTTCGACAACTCCCCTGTTCAGCTCTTTGGGACAGTTTAATTGGCAGATTTAATTCTGGATATGACACAAATAATTACAGAGTGGGGAAGTTTACCGAAAGATCTTAATGCCTCTAAATTTCCGTTGGCTTGCAGTTGTTCTTTGGCTGTTGCTGTAAAGCGGGGGCTGAAGAATAGTGTAAAGATGTTGAATAAACAGGAAGTGCTATGCAGCTGAAGCACTCTGAAATGAAAATAAACTGGAAGGCTGCCCTTTTTAGCCAGCAAAAGGCCTGTTTCCACAGTAGCAATGCCCATATAAGTAAATGACAAACATAAGTGTACAATAAGCCATCTTGACTTTGTTCTCAAATTTATCTTTGATTCTATTCATGATACTGCTGCTTTCTGTCAGGTGAGTGCCTCAATACAAACAGCTCCTCGTAAAGAAATCCAGTGCCTGCTTTGCAAGACTGCAAGGAAAGACAGCTTGTAAAAGGATGAGCTGCCACACAAATGTTTACAATAAAAATGGAGCAAAATTCCTTTAGAAATCTTATTTCTGTTGTGGCAACTGCCTGCTGGCACACAGAGACTGATTTGCTATTTTGCACGTAGTCTCTGCCTGTCTGTCATCCTGGGTGCTAATGCTCCAGTAAAATAACTCATTGGGAGCTGTCATGGGGATGTTTACACAAGACTGTTCCTTTCTTCGTACAAGGAAAATTTTTCTGGAATTCATCTTCTTTTGATCTCACATTCAAAGCAACACCACTGTGATAGACATACAAGTCTTAAAGCAAATCCAGACACTAGAGATAAACCACCAGAGGCTGACAGACAGCAGTATCTAAAGCTCACAAATGGGGGTAACAGCATGTTGTCTGAATATGTATTATGGCAAAAGAAAGACATATATTAGATGAAGCTGACTGTCCATGTATTAAAGTTCAAGAAAGTGATTATATAAGCAGTACATCATCTTAGAAAAGCAGAGGGAGCATAAGGCAAAGTAACTGTATCATAATGATAGAAGTTTTGTTCTCTCAACTGATAATCCATGTACTTGGGATTCTGAAAACGTCAAATAGAAACTCCAGCACACAGGTGACATATTGTAATGCTGGCTATGAAGATCACTGACATAGTTTACTTATCTTGCTAAACCTTCTCACACCAGCTTATCATAATTAGATTCTCATCCATTTGGAAATGAATGTGAGAAGGCCACAGGCTTTCCCCATAACTTCTGATGCCAACATTGGTTTCTAATTTGGTAATCAGGAAGCCTGTTCTTTCAGCAGTTAGTATTTTCCCTAGTTGGACGTGCCATCTAGTGGTTTGACTGTGAATGCATGAAACAAATTACAGATCCAAAAATCCAGATTTGAAGTGAGGCTTAAAACCTCACCCAACAGTATGCAAAATGAACAAATGAATTCTCTCTAGTTCACTCTTGAAGGCACTGAATCACTGAGTGACAATTCTTCATGGATCCCAGCACTGCTTGGCCATCTTACTCATGTGACAGAGATAGTAGGAACTGCAGATGCTGGAGAATCCGAAACAACAAGGTGCAGAGCTGGATGAACACAGCAGGCCGAGCAGCATCATAGGAGCAGAAAGGCTGATGTTTCGGGCC